TTGGAGTGTGAACAGTTGAAGCGTAAACGTTGAGAAACTACTACAGCATGTTTACGCAAGACACCGAGTTCCCAAGTCATACATCCGAGTACAAATTTGCGAAAGAGGGGGGGGGGGATACTGTTAGCAACCTTACGAGAGTGTCGGCCCCTTCCCGACTAAGGCCTTTTTGCACTTAAGAACCGCACCCCTTTTGGACGCCTTCCTCGAAGACAGTCGATATTTACCACCCCCTGTACCCCTACGAAAACACGCTAGCCTTGTAGACAATCTGCACCCTCCGCACCCTCGGCAATCACTCGCCTCATTCCGCAACTTGTCAACATGTAAGTGCAAAACCTTGCCATTCTTTATTATAAAATGATCTGCGCTGTTCCCTTTTATATTAGCAGATGTGACATATTTCCACCTTTTATCAGCGACCTACTCAATTTTTATCTAATTTGGCTCGTTTATATGACCTATCTTGATTCAGCTCGTTAGTCTTGAAATGCTAAACAAACTTTTTTTTATGTCTCGTACATTATCCTCCGATTTTAAATCCCAGAATATTTTGATAACTAAACTTTTTTGCAATTGAATTACTTCAATTCCTGGTAATTCAAGAAATTGAACTTCGAGAAGTGCGAGAAAACCTTTCGGCAAGAGATTTCAGACGGCTAGCGTAATTACTTTACCATATGCGTCGGTGCTGACGCCAGCTCTGGCGGCTGGTTGCGGCAGTAGTCGGCTGCCTGGGTACAGGGCCCGGCACAGATCGTCTGGAAGCAGGCTGGACTTCGTTTTTGAAGCAAACAGCAAAGGGGATATCGTTTTTGACAAATCGGAACCGAGTACCAAGAATAAGCGCCATTTAGTCGAACACAAGCTTTTCGGACAGGTTATCACACAATTGACATGCTCTATCGTGTATGCCGAAAAGTGCGCGCGATTTGAAAGTAAGGCTTAAATAAACAAACTGCTTGTTTACAGCGCACACAGAAGCATATGACACCAAAATTGAACTATCATACCCTATAATAAAGCGCAGGGGGGACCATCCGACGTCAACAACCGGCGAAGGATGTTTGCCCAGTTCTCTGAGTTAATTCTTGCACTTTCGCCCGCTTCCATACTGTTTACCGTTACGACTCACTTAGGTTGACTAAGTGCAACCTCTGACGTCATCAATGGTATGATGTTTTCTGCCATCTTCGGTGTTCCCGCCTGCTTCGGTGATGTTTATCACGACGTCAAGCTAAGTGCAACCCCAATTCCGTCGCCTTCAACGCTGTTAGCGGTCGATTAATTTCAACCGCTTTACATTTTGCTTCATTTGCGAAAATAAGCAAACGTCGGATAGCATCTTCAGGTAGGTGATAACACTTAACATAAATATCTGCATTACATCTCCTCAATTCTTTCTTAACCAATCATCATACCCTATAATAAAGCGCAGGGGGGACCATCCGACGTCAACAACCGGCGAAGGATGTTTGCCCAGTTCTCTGAGTTAATTCTTGCACTTTCGCCCGCTTCCATACTGTTTACCGTTACGACTCACTTAGGTTGACTAAGTGCAACCTCTGACGTCATCAATGGTATGATGTTTTCTGCCATCTTCGGTGTTCCCGCCTGCTTCGGTGATGTTTATCACGACGTCAAGCTAAGTGCAACCCCAATTCCGTCGCCTTCAACGCTGTTAGCGGTCGATTAATTTCAACCGCTTTACATTTTGCTTCATTTGCGAAAATAAGCAAACGTCGGATAGCATCTTCAGGTAGGTGATAACACTTAACATAAATATCTGCATTACATCTCCTCAATTCTTTCTTAATTGGTGCACCACATCATCACTGTTTTTATCACTAAACGCATCTTTACGTGCAAAATCAAAATTTACTCTCAAATTTGAACCTTTCCTCAAAAATCAAGCAAAATGATATTACTCATTGTCCATTTTCCTATTGTGCACCATTCCATTTTTGTCTTCATTCCAAACGTATCTCATCGAAAATTTTCAAATTTTACTCTGAAAAAACCCTTCCACAAGAATGAAGCAAAAGAAGCGAATGGCATGCTGAACGCATCTTCGCATGAAAAAATCCTTAAACTCACTATGAAAATCGAACCTTTTTGAGAAAAAAATTAAACATCAATACTGTGCGAACTTTCCAAATTGTTATCCACTAAGTGATAAAAAAAACATGGTGATGCGAATTGCCTTGAAACACTAAACGTTATGCAAAAAGCTTACTTGGCAAGCAACGCAGGTTCTAAGCGAACACTTCATCTCAGGATTTTAAATTAATCCAAAGACTGAAAATTTCAAAAAAAAAACTGTAAAAGTTGCTGTGATCGTGAGAGAAGTTTTGAAAAGAGCTACACGCTGTCTGTCTGTTATCAATATACCAGTTGTGAACAAAAGAGATGGAAAGAAAGGGACGCTTCACTAACCATCAACTCAACCCTTGCTAACCTCAGGAACATGTAGCTTTTTAGTGCAATTTTGTCAGAACATTGTACTACCTCAAAATCGTATAGACAACGATGATTTGCTTGAATGAACAGCTTAAATTGGATATACGCTTCAATACTAGCTCTCTTTACGGAATTCGAGTCAATAGCCTACCAAGTTGGAAAATGGGTGCGCTTTAGAGCATTTCGGGTGGAGTTTATAGTTCTAAATGGGCGTCTTATATGGAAGGCTTTCCAGATTGTTGAACAATTTGGAAAGCCCATATAAGACGCGAACACGAGCCCTGGCATTAGAATTTTTTAAGCATATTTCGTGAGGCGAAAGGGAGGTTTTTTCATTTAGGAAATTTCATAATAGTAAGTTAGAATTTTGGCTAAATGCATTCAAGTGCGCTGAGTTGAATGCTCCTCTTGCTGAAGTCTCGCAAAGAGTTACTTTGAGACCCATATGCATGAAAATCCTCCCAGTGGCAAAAAAAAGAAGCGGCGTCCCCAGTGATGAAAAGCCATAGCAGTGTTCGCCCGCGGCCCTTTTATGACAAGGGACGTCGCTTACTTCACCCCCTTCACCCCCGCTTTTCATGTGGGCCTTCTAAGGTAGTTCGTAGGGACAGTCGATGAGGAGAGCAGAGCCCCGGGTGAAAACAGCCATGAAAATGTACATAGCTGGGAAAGGCTTGCCGGGTTTGTGACGGCCACTTTGGTCAGAAAACTTTAGGATGTGAAAATTTGAGAGTATCCGAGGATTTTCGCAAATGTGGGAATGAGCAACTTTGGCAGCTACAATTTATGGTGATAACGCTGAAACTTTGGCTCAAAACCGCACACCAACGCTTAGGGCTTGCGCTGCATTTCGCATTGCAGGAGGGTTCAAAGAAAGTGGGAATGGACAAGTCCTAACGTCGCAGACATGATGCAGAATCTTTGCGTTGCGCAGCTCATCACATCAATTTTGGTCTGATTCGGTGCACAAACTTTAAAGGTGTAAGGTGGCGCATTTTCTCAACATCATCTTTGGAGCTAGATTCGAAAGCGATTAAGTAAGATCAAAAGGATTTGAAAATGCGAGAAAAGATCGGTAGTTTCGGCGGTTTATAAAGGAAACATTTGGATGAAAACGAGTTGGGGGGGGGCAGTTTGGCTCAGAACTCAGGAATGACAATAGAACGCGAGTTGCAAAGAAAGCTGAGAGGAAGCGATCAATTCATCACTTTGGTTAATGATGTAACTTGGGAAACCATTTAAAGCAGGAGATCCTGACATTTAACTTTGATGATCTCCGAATTCGTTGAGTGTCTGAGAAATCGCCTACTTTTGGAGGAGAAAAGGTTTCCACGCTCTAACTTTGAGAGCCATATCCCACTTCACACACACAGCCAGTCCGGAGCGCCGCGAAGCGGCGCTTCGGACTGGTATGCATATAAAATATATGCACCAGACGATCTGAGATCGTCTGGTGCATATATTTTCGTCACTTCACATAATTTTCGGACCTTTTTAGCATAGACGGATTCTCCGGTCAAAAATCTACAAAATCATTTTCATATCATTGCTTTTCCTTTGTTTTTTGCCTTCATTTCTTCTCGCTTTGTTAAATATCGCGCTCTAATGCCAAAGTCTTGTGCATGCTTAGTATTCAGCTCCATATGGAATTTCACTCTTACCTTACGTCTTTTCTTTCAGAGTAGTAAGTCTTTCTTGTTTTCATCTTCTTCTAAGCAGGTAGGCCAATGGGAACTTCGTAAAACTTCCGAAAGTCAGTGGAGACTTCGTTTTCAGAAACCCTAGAGACCGACTCGTGCCGGGCCCTGCCTGGGTACCACTTGCTACGCACCCGTATTTTCTCAATATAGCATCAACGACTTTGATGTAAAGACAGGGATCTTAAGAACAAAGTTTTTTTTTCAATTAACTGAGTGGCACTAATTAGTTCACCAATATGTTTACAGAACATTAGCAGGTTGCAATTATTCAAGCAATGTATTGACACTAAAACAAGAGACATGTACAGATTTTAAAACGGAATACGAGACAGATCGCCATTGAAGAAACCGCCGTTATGCTCCTTGCTCAGCTTGGAAAAGGAGCGTACCAAAAGCGCTGTGGCTTCTTCGATCTCAAAAAAGGAATGTGAAGCAGTTTTGGTTTCACTAGCTGTAAATAATTAATGTACCGTAGAAGTTGCTTTCTTTCCTCCCATTCGGGTCTGCACCCATCCAGGACAAAAATTCGCAACGAGAATATGGTCAGGAATCAAATCAACGGCCATGGTCCTCATCAAAGCATTCAATGCTGTCTGAAAAATGTTATGCAAAGGCTAAGGCCTCGGGCAGAGTTCACGCAATTTGATCGTCGCGATTGATCGCGACAAGACAACTGTAAAATATCAGTGCATGCCGATCTTCTTGCATTTCGGTTATGATAGTTCTCCAACACGACTAGTCGCGACTAACTATCACAACTTAAATACAAGAAGATCGGCACGCAAAAAACTCGTTACACATGTCTTGTAGTGATGAAATCGCGTGAACTCTACCCGAGGCCTAAGGCTTGGTGACGCTTGATATGCTATGAACTTTGCTTATTCTGTAGGCCAACATGCCGTTATGACCTGATCCTGAAGTGTTATCCGTAATGGAGCCAATCCCAGCTGAGATGTTTAAAATAGCAGCGCGGTCTATTGAGAATTCATCGGAAGCGGTTTGTGAAGCAGCCTTGCGCAACAAGGGAAGGAATGTCTGAAAAAAATTGTACAAACGAAATTTATTACTGAGCTAGATCATCACATCAATCACCTGAGTAAGAACAGCTACACTAGCCGCATTGGTATCAAAGTTTTTAATGAGTGCTGCGCGATCTGGCTTCTGGTTTGTAGAATACTTCACAAACATTCCAGCATTGTTCAAGAGAACGTTCAGCCCACGGTCCCCTACGATCTTCTCTACCTGAAGTTGACTTGATAGAATGATTTTTGCCAGGAAGTGGAAAAGCATTCGCATGGCAAACTTTTCCTCTACAATTCAAGGTCACTTTGCTTCAAATACAGAATCTTTTAGTATCTAACACATTACTTTGCCGAAGCCAATCTTGCTTAATGGAAGAATCTGTTATATTTGGATAGCCTCGTCTTTGCAATCTTCTACCTGTGCGTCAATCTCCTTCCGCTTCACCCTTCTTCTCCCATTAATCAAGCCTTTCGTTTGAAGTCCTATCTTGTGGTGAGAACAAAAAACTAGCTTACTTGAGGATACAAAGTGTTGATAGACTCGTCAGACGTCACATCTAGCTTGAGCACGGCCAGTCTTTTGTCAGAGATCTCTTTCAATTCCTGCAAGAAGGCTTCTTTTGTCAATGTTTCGTTAGGTTAAAATGAAGAACTACAAGAGTGAAGGTGCATGAGAGGTACGCTTGAAAGCGCATAACAGGTTGTGTGATGATTTTTTGTTTTTTTTTCTTGATCTATTCGCATTTGGTAAAATGTATAAACTCTACAAAAACGTGCTTCACTAGTTTACTAAGAATTTGAAGCTTTTCGGATTTAGAGTGAAATTTTAAGAATGCGAAGAAATCATTTTCGAAACTCCTTTTGTCTCTAACTTTTCTCTTTTCTCATTAATAGGATTTGATTAACAAGATACACAACAAACAAAATAGACTGATCGCTTGCCAGGTAACATCATTATTCATTTTAGTCTGCTTACTTCCTTCCACTGTGTCTTGCCTTTATTCAAAACTCGGCGAAGGATCTGCTACGACGTTCGATGTCTCGCGCACTTAAGCTGTTTCCCACAAACATTGATTTATGAGTGAATGATACATAAATTCTGCAATTTTCTTATCACAGACTATCCTCTTTGATAATTCGATTTATCTGATCATTAAGGTCTCTGATCCATTTAAGCGTATCGTAAATGATCGTCACGGTAATTTGGCTTTACAACTCAAGCTAAAATTTTCAACATTTTCGAATCCAGGAATCGAAACAGAGGAATTGATGAAGGAGAATCAAACTTTTCGGAAGCACATGCATGCTCTACAGTACACCACACAAAACACCAATAAAATAAGATAAAAACACTTGTTGAGCAACCATTTCCGATTTTTTATAGGATTTTTATATCATTTTCAAAAATGCTCATATCATAATCATTGCTCGATAATATGAATAGTTCTAAAAAAGCACTCATACACAACACTATACAGCAAAGAAACCAACCTCTCCTTTTTTGGAAGCCTCTTTGCTGTTCTGAAGGAGAAATCACAATTGCTAAAACAGAAGGCAGCGGTAATGTACTCACGTTTGAATTGGATGACTCACGAGAGGTAGCAATTACATGCTGGACTTCTTTATTTTTGAGAAATTGCTTTACGAGACCCAGACCGATTCCACGATTTGCTCCGGTGACGAGGACCGAGTACGGAGCCATTCCTCAACCACTCTCACCTCTAATACCGAGATTTTATTTGATAATAAAACAAAAGAGCGAGAGCGGAAAAGCTTGTTGTATCTTCAAATAAACTTTGGCAAATATCTTTCGAGATTGGCATAAAAAGTTGAAAGAATAGCATCTTATATATAAAGCTGAATGTCTGTTTGTATGTATGTCTGTATGTCTGTATGTATGTCTCTATGTCTGTATGTACGTAGGTTCCGAATAGAAAATTCCATTTCTGAACCGATCGGGACCAAACTTGGGTGGAGGAACGAACACCTCAATTAGGCACCGCCTCCGCGGACCACTGGTCCCAACACGATGCACAACGATAGGACGAAAGGACCAGCAGCCCGCGGCAACGGTGCCGAATTGAGGTGTTCGTTCCTCAACCCACCAAACTTAGCACACATACACTTCGGGCCCCGGCGGGTGTCATGGGCTACTTTTCGTCATCGATCAATATCGATTTTATCGATTTTTTGCAAAATTTGAGCTACGGGGCTGGGAGTTGGCACAGGGGGGAGGGGTAATCGAGCATGCTAATCACCCCCGTGGGGGTGATCAGCATGCTCGATTACACCCCTCTGCCAAATTCCAGCCCCCTAGCTCAAATTTTGCAAAAAAATCGACATCGATCGATAACGAAAAGTGGACTGTGACACCCGCCGGGGCCCGAAGTGGATGTGTGCCAAGTTTGATTCGGATCGGTTAAGAAATGGAATTTTCTATTCGGAACATTCGGCGGAGCTGGGAAGCCAGCTAGTTTATAATATTTTAGACTTCTATGCAGACATGCTTCATGAAGAGATGGTTAGAATTGCACAGGTAGCAGATCGATCTTACGAATTTGATGATTCTTATGCCCAGAATCCGTTCCCTCATATAAAAGGGACCGCCCAACGTATCCTGTGAAAACAAAAAGACAACTTGTCAGTTCCTATGTGATGATTGTTGATATTATGCAACAGATGCTATAAACAGAGCCATAAATACAGTCGGAAAATCGAAAGCAAGTATGTAAGGCGAAATTAGTTGGAAAATCTTGTTGATTCTAGAGACGATTAAATCAAAATTACAAAGAATTTAAAATATCGAAATTCTTGATATTCATAGGAACAACCAATCATAAGCTCTAGGAATAAGCAAGTCATAAAGCCATTAACCGGAAATGGATGTAGACGTTTTGGCAATTTTAAAATTAACTCACAAAAGCATTTTTGTATGCTTGTCTTCGTATCATTGCAATTACCGACACAAATTTCCGTTTCAGAGTAGAAAGAGCAAGAGAATTCTTCCACCTACATAGCCTAACAACCACTCAATAACACTCACCGAAGGGAATCGCTAAAACTGTGCACGAAATCTTTCTGGATATGGAGATGGAGATACTCCAACGACACAAGGCGTGCTCTTTTTTTTATCGAGATAGCAGCTCTCTCGCCCCTGTGCCTCGGAAATGGTTGCTCTTCACACAATTCTTTTAGACAAAGAGCAGCACATTGGATGGTCCTTTTGTTCACGATGGTAGAGTTTACGATAGAAAAGTGCGTCTCGTACTCGTGAAACTAGGATAATTCAGAATCGCACGTCACATACGAAGATGAAAGGATTTTAGCTTGAGACCATATTCATCGTCAGGTTGGTCTCCGCTTTCAAAAATCGACAGTACAGTAAGCCAAAAATAGATAAGCATGCTAACAAAAAGTCACATGATACTTTTGCATCTTCTCATTTTTTTTTCTCAAAACAACGAGTTCTAGGAGTTTTGATACATGGATTAGAAGCATTTTAGGTTGCATACATCAGCTCTCAGATTGAAACCACTTTCAAATGTTTTCCGATTGATGACTGACAAAGCAAGCCTTTCAATTTTGTAAAAAAAAAAACACAGTAGAATGAAGGCAGAGAGAGCCTGGTACCAGTATCAGAGTACCTCTTCATTGCTATGACCAAACTTTGGAATTTTCAGAACACATTGCGCGATCGTCTGGAACGATGGAACAAGATTGCATCCAAAATCTGGTTGAATTAGCAGATGTAAGTATCTATGAACCAATACGGGCAGAAAAAGCATAGCCTCCCACTTTTTATGAACATGAACACTTATATCAGTCCAACTAAACAGAAAAAAGTGAGGTATTGATCAAAAACGTAACTGTGGACGTAGTAACGATTCCTCTCGCTGGGCAAAGGGGAACATGCAGTTGTTTACCAGTCGTGTCCAAAAAAATCGAAATGCATCCACACTAGCATAAGAGACAGTGAATCAGTGATCCTGTTCTCTTTGAATACGGCAGAAAATTCCATTGCTTTGGTACCAATAGATTACCAAATTCATCTTTTTTCTTAAGGCTGATTTATCTGGCTTGTTTTGACCATGAATTTGCCGAAGGTTAACGTTTGTCCGTTTATAGGATCCCCACAAAAAACAACAAACATTTTGCAAGCTGAAGTTACCACGATCATGTTCCCTTTGTACGTCAAATTATACATTTTATAAGCTTTCTGGAGATGTCAAGCTTGTAAAGTTCACACAAGCCATTACGGAGATCCCAAATACTTATTAGTTTTCATTCCAAACTTTGTCTTCCGTTTTCCTGTACAGCTCACATTTGAAAAAGTGCCGTTTTCAGCTCTTCGCTACTTTTTTCTTTTATTTTCCTTGTCTTTTCTCCTCATGATTAGCCGCAATTTTTCTAAGCTCGAGTTCAAAAGAATCTGCTACGAAAGTTGATTGCAAACTATGCGTTTTGACACCACAAAAGGATTTATAGTCTTTTGAGATATAAAACGACAGTTTGTTTTGGAATTCTCGAACACCTAGTACCGTGTCCTAGTTTCAGCTAGGTTTAAAGGCAGTGTTCACCAAAATTTAGTTGCCGAGATTTTTGCATTTTGCAAACCTGTCGGAGCCTGTCTAGCACCGTATGGGCTTAAAATCGCACAAAGTTCCCAAAAACCCCGTTTTCTGGAGGCCACGCGGAAGCAACGTGGACGAGTTGTACCTTCCAACTTCAGCCTCAGCCACAGTGGCAGCAACAGACGGGAGGTGAATGCCAAGTGGAGGGACATGTTCAAACGCGTAAGGTGAAGGCCGAAGGAGTCGTCCGCGCGTACCAAGCCGCTCTCCGCGTACCACTTTAAGTTAATTTTTCTCAGCTTGGAAGGGGTCAAATTGAGTGGGATTTGTTGCAGTGGCCTATTTAGAGGTCCCTATCATAACTTATAATAACGGGCTAAGGATGTTTACGTGACTTTGTGTGTCTGTCTGTGTGTGTGAAAGTGTGTCTGTTACGAAATTCGTAGAGAGTGTTCCAGCCAACCTCCTGGGGTCAAATTTTGCACAGCGCATGCTACCCGCATGAAAGTCTAACATGCAAAAGCACGAGCAGATTCGTTGAGTGGATCACTCAGAAACTGCGCGTCAAACGGATCCACTTTGCATTTGGGCCGCATAATTGGGTCCGTAATTCCACTTTTTGCAAATTAGTGGATGTTTATGCCAAGTAAAAGCGCAAACCATGAAATTAGACTCAAAAAGTGATCAAAAGTCCATTGCTTTAGAAAAACGGCGCCAAAAAGTATTGGCTGCATAAATGGTCAATTTGCCAAGGTTTTACCAGAGCATTTGACGAGATTTTTGCACAAAGATCTAGCTCACGGTGACTGCTGTTCTTATTGCAACTGTCAAGACCATGGGAAAATCAAAAACCTGTAAAAATTTGCATTTGTTCCCCTGCAAAAATTCTGATCCATGCGAAATCGCCGATTTCACATAAAAAGCTTTCGGAATGAGTAGTTGTTTACATTTTGTTCGTGATAGTCGGCATTGCTCAGTGAGTTCCAATGCCATCATTATGCGAGAATGAGTAGGGCCTAGATAGTAGAGCCAGTGCGAGCCTCTGCGAAGCAGAGGTGAAGCACTGGTAATAGAATATCTAAAGAGCCGCGCGACCTCACTTTGGTGAGACACTGCCTTTAAGCTCCACACTGCGTAATCCATTGCGAGAACGTATATGTTAGAAAACAATACATAGCGCTTAGTACATATAGTTTCCAGATTGTCACCCAGAAGCACAATTCACATAGGGGGAGTGGTTATTGTCCACTGATATCAAAAATTCATAATGTTGAATTATGGCGAAGTAAAAAAAAACAAATTTGTAGAATATTATGACAACTTTAACGACCACACGACCTGCCCCTTGCAATCAACAACAACAATTCAATTTTGAAGTTTCAAATGAGATTTCGAGATCCTAGTAGAGTCGTTCATAATATCATAGCTGAAATATTTGTGCATCAAAGGTCGACATCTACAAACTGACATTTTCTTCAAATGCCAACATGACAGCTTAGTCTTTCTCCACAAGATAATGCGAATGGCAACTGAGTAACGAAGTGAGCAGTCTAACTATGAGAACGGATGCTCTTAGTCGTGTTACCCTCGAACAAATGAACGTTCGATGATGCAGAGGTGGAGCACATTTTTTTCGTTCACTTCTATCATGACTTATAATAACGGGCTAAGGGTTGTTTACGTCTTTTTGTGTGTCTGTGTGTCTGTCCGTTACGAAATTCGTAGAACATGTTCCAGCCAACCTCCTGAGCCCAAATTTTGCACGGCGCATGCTAGCAGCATGAAAGTCCGATATACAAAAGCGCGAGCAAATCCGTCGAGTGGATCCGTTAAAAATTGCGCGCCAAACGGGTCCACCTGGCTTCTGTACCGCAAAATTCGGTCCGTATCACCACTTTTTGCAGAGTCGTGGATGAGTTTGGTAAGCAAATGTGCAAGCGATGGAGTTTAGCCAGAAAAGTGGTCGAAAGTTTACTACATAACGAAAACGGCGCCAAAATGAATTGGTTTTGTAAATGGTCAACTTGCCAAGGTTCTAGCCAAGCGTTTGAGAAGATTTTCGCACAGAGATGTAGCTCACGGTTATCATTACCTTTATGGCGACTACCAAGCCATGACAAATCCAAGAACC